TTAATCTTTGCTCACAGGGCTTGCCCTTGCAGAGTTTACCCAGACCCCAGTACTGACTTCACAGCATATTCCTAGTACTTTAGTATACTCTGTTTCCGATCTCAAACTCCCAATCCAAATAGCCCAGTAGGACTGTGACCTGTCTCTGGTACTCCAGGGTCTGCCCCCCAAGATGCTTTTCCTCCAGTTCGAGTCTTCTAGCAGCCTGGTTGGTGGTACCCCTCACTGAGGTTCTTGCCTGTCTGATTTCTTCCACATTGGTATCTGTTTTCTAGGTCTAGCCTTTACAGTAGTACTGTCAAAGATCCATGTTACTTCTCTACTCGGGTCTTCCCAAGTGGGCTTCAGTTATCCTAGTTCACAGATTTACATGGCCACAGATGCCCCATGACCTGCCAGTTATCTGGTATAACCATGTTACAGGTACTGATCCCAACTGATTAATAGATAGCCATTACCGTATTACCGGTTTCAAGGACTTATTTTGTGTTTGCACCGCCCAATGCCAGTTTGCATTTCTCTGTATAACTCCAACATTGCACAAATGCCCATATATACCAATGTAACATAGGTGGTTTTTCAAATTTTCGGCGTCAGTGGGTTTTGAACTCCCAACCTACCACTTGGAGGGTTGACAACTTATCCACTTCACTAAGTCACCACACCCCTTGATTTGAAATAATTAAATTTAAAGTTGGTTATATTATGTGTTGGTTTTTGGTTATAATTGAACTATAGCCAAATAGATTTCTAATCTATTTCTAAAATAAGCTAGTTCTATTCTTGGTTACATTTTTGAAATAACCATATTGCTAAAATGTGGACTTTGAAAATATTTTGATAAATATTCTAGTAGGATATTTTATAAAATATTGGTTCCAGAACAGCATATAGTATAGATTGTTAGTAAAATTGTTCTGATAATTGTTAGTATAAGCTTGCACTTTATAAAAGTTGATTTGAAGGTTGTAAGATTTAATGATATTCAATAAGATATATTATATAGGTCATGTATTGAATTTGAAAAGTTTATTAGAATTGAAAAATGTTATATAGATATTAGAATATTTAGTAATAATAAATTAGGAATCTGTAAAAATGTTGACTATTACATTTTAAAATGTGATAAAAATAACTAAGAGGATGGCTATCAGTTCCACTTTATAAAATAAAGACCAGAAGTATATTTTAGTAAAAAATTTGTGAATAATTTGATTATTATTATTAATCTGAACCTAGCCAATACCCATTGTACATTGGTCATTTTTAATATTAATTACTAAGCCATTAGTGTAAAAGATAAATTGTTGTTTAGAGCTATTAAGAATTGAATATTTTTCAAGTATATTTGCTATTTCACTAGTTTTAAATATTTTAAAAATGTAAGAATTAGATATTGAGATTGTTTATTAGAACTATTTTATTTTATTTTTATTTTATATATATATTTAATATTTATTAATACTTACAGTATATATACTTTTATACTATAAATTCTAGAATTTTTTTTATATTAGACTTTTGGATATTATCTAATAAGAAATCTTTTTTTTTTAAAAATTAAACTAGTTTTTTTCAGGACTAGAACTTTATTTAATAAATTAGAACATAAAAACTTATAGCCAAAGTCTCAAAAAAGTTACTTTATATTAGAGAGTACAACTAGACATATGTATACTTTTGGTGTTTAATTTAAGTAGTCCATCAATAGTTCTACACTAGCTGTTATATCTGCAATCTAATTAGAGACATTGTCTAGTTAAACTCTTTGTATAGCAATCTCTACTGTGTTACTAGATTATCTTCAATACAGATATCAGTCAAGAAGGTCTAGATATTTTTATCTATATTCTTAGAATTCTATACCTTATTTTATGCAGTATATTCTCAAAAGCATTGTTACTAGAGCCTTTTGTATTTCATATACAGCTAACCTAGTTTTATATAACATGCTATAGTTATCTAACATTTGCAGTTATAAGGGTTATCTGTTTAACAGCTATATTATACTATTTCTATCTTTGTAAAATTTACTCAAACCCCAGTATCTATCTTTCTAACTTTTTCTTTTTATCCCTCTATTATTCAATTCAGAATCTGACAGACTTTCCAGACTTCCAATTCAAATAATCTAGTATAATTATCTTAGTATCCTTTTCTTTTAGCAATTCTGACAGCCTAGTTAGTTATATGCTCCTCTATACATCTTTCTATTTAGTTACATCTGACTATTTCTTATTAGGGTTTTCTGAACTTCCATCAGTTTAATAGCAATGTTGAAGGTTTATGTTATCTCTTTACTTGGAAATTTCTAAGTAGGCTTCTGTCTTCTTAGTTTCTTGATTTTTTATATCTGGTAGTTTTATTATAGATTTGCACTGAAGTCTTATATAACACCAGTTATTAATATTTCTCTATGTATGTATAATATTACATTTCATATAGATGTCCTGGGCTCTCAATAATAAATAAAACCCAATTGGTTCTACTCAAGATTACAGATATCTAAATTCAACCAATTGACAAGAGACAGTTTTCAATACTACAGGTTAATTTCCAAATTTCATCATAGGTAAAATTTGAATCTTAGACCTATAACTTAAAAGATGACAACCTAACTATTACACTAGAATAATTATCTTCTAATAATATGATCTTTATTTCTATTACAACACATTATATAGATAGCAATTAGATCTTTTAAAAAATATTAATTAACTTCAGATTATTAAATAAAAATTATAACAGAAAGAATATTTTTAATAGATTTTTTAAAACATTAAAAGATTATAAAATTACATCAAAGATATTTATATAAATTTAGTTTTATTTATATTTAATATAAAATAAATTTATTTTATATTAGCTTAGTATAAAGACAAAATTATTTAATATTAAGTTTAGTATAAAATAAATTTGACTTTATATTAAAATTAGTATAAAGGTAATTTTATATTATATTAAGCTTCTTTTTTGTTTTCATTAAAGTTATTTATTATCAGCAACTAATACTTTTATTGTATTTTTAATTATAGTTATATAACTTGTATAAAGTGAGTATGCAATTAGTTATCTATTTAAATAATTTATTTGCAAATTTTATACTAGCTACTATATCTGTAGTTTGTTAAGAGATTACCTAATTAAATACTTTGATTTTTATACTATGTCTAATAGATAGTACACAAGTTTCTCTATATCTAAATGTTGTCTAATTTAATTTAGACTTTTTTTATATATCTAATAAGTTATTATATATTTTAAAATATATTATCTAGCTATAAGATTCTGAACCCCTCCTGTTAACTAGTTTATTCACTTTTATAAAACATTAATAGGTCTCATTTTTATAAAATTTACTTAGATTCTAGTACCAACTTTATAACATATTCCTAATATTTATAATATATTTTGCTTTGTTATTTGATTTCTAATTCATAATCTGATAGAACTATTAAATGTTTCTAGTATATTGAGTTTGATCTAATATTTTTTTTCTTTAGTTCAAGACTTCTAAAAGCCTGATTGGCAATATTTTTACTTAAGATTTTTGTCTGACTAATTTCTTTATATTGGTATCTGTTTTCTAGATCTAGTCTTTACAGTAATGCTATTAAAGATCTCTGTTATCTTTTTACTTAGATCTTTCTAACTAAGTTTCAATTTTTCTAATTCTATAGAGTTACATAACTACAAGAACTTATCTTGGGTTTGCATCACCCAGTATCAGTTTGCATTTATTTATGTAACTATAATTACACAAATGTTTCTTGACCTGACAGTTATGCTAATATAATCATAATTATAAGTATCTTATCTCAACTAATTAACAGAATGTCATTACTATAATAAAGATGTATTTTTTCAAATTTCATCTCTAATGAGTTTTGAATTTATAACCTGCTATTTAAGGAGTTGCCAATTTATCTATTTCACTAGTTACTACATCTATTATGTTAAACTTAATTTGACTTTATACTAAGTTAACATAAAATAAATTAGTTTCATATAAAAAAATGTTTTGTTTTTTTTTCTAAAAGCTTCTTACTAATAACTTAAATAATACTTAAATAATGATATTTTTATTCATGAATTATCTATAAAATTAAAAAAAAAAAATTAGAATAAGATTCTGAACAACTTAGATTCTAATGCTTTAACTATATTCTTAATTTGACTGCAAAAACAACTCTAGCTAAAATAGAGAAAAATATTTGTAAGGGATTAGTATAAACTCTGCAAAACCTTTTTTGTTTTTTTTTTAAAAAAAAAAATTATTATACTCAAATAATTAAGATTCAAGAACTTAATTCTGCTATTCATACATTACTCCAACAATATTGAGCTGTTTGAAAAAACATGTAATGCATGCTATATCAAATTTTCAATGCACTATTTGGAATCATGTGCCAAATGATGATTTTTTTGGCAGTTGACCTATTTAGATTCGAAATGGATCCATCGAATCAAATTCGAATCAAATCCGAATCTCAAATCCATTTTGTGGAACGATACCTGACAGTGTTAATCCGAGGCACAACAAAAAGTTGTGACATGCCGTTAATCTAAATGTCTTAATACATAGTAACTATATAGCAACTATATAGTAACTATATGATAGCTATATAGCACGTAACTTAGTGATGGGACAGTCGAGTTTTTAGTTAATAATAAAACGATTATTAATTAGTTAATAATAGTTACTAATAGTTAATAATTTCGGTAATTGTTAAAAATGGTTATGCAAGCATTTTAATAACTGCATATTTTTGTAATTGTTTGGGACAAAATCCCGACAAATCATCCTGACAAACAATTCTGACGACTAAATTCCCGGCAAAATTAATCAGAATTCAACTCATGCTAACCTAACTTTGACAAGTTCTATTTCTCGAAATTTTGACTGGCTTTCGTTTTAATTGTTTACAAAAAAATATATAATAAACGTTAGTAATATAACATCCAGACTTGTTAAAAAATTTTGCATTGCTAGTTTTCAAATGTCGCCTCAACGTAAATTTGGAAGGAAAAAAACCCCGATTTGGCAATGGTTTAGTGAAGGTGAAAAGCTAAACAGTTCACACTATTTAGCACGATGTAATTTTTGCAAACAAAGCTGTCCCGGAGAACCTTCAAAAATGGTCAAACATATATTAGTAACATGTGAAGAAATTCATCAGGATGAGCGTAATAATATCGAAAATATTTTAGCAAATGCTAGTACTAAAAAAACTAAAAACTTGCAAAAAAACAATTCATTACCTCAAGTTGATAATCATAACGATAACTGTAATACGAATACAAATGATGTACCAGAAGTTGAAGATATTTCGGTTTTGTCTATTGGAGAAAAGGCATCCATTAATCGTCAATTACTCAAAGCATTAATTTCGGCCAATGCACCACTATCGTTCGTAGAAGATCCTGAAGTAATTAAACTATTTCAGATGTTAAATCCCAGATATAAACTTCCATCACGTAAATGGCTAAGTACAAGTGTTTTAGACAAGATACATGAAAATGTTCAATGCGGCATTCAACATTTTATATCAGATTCTATGTTTTTAACACTATCTGGTGACGGGTGGACCAATGTGTCCAAAAATAGTATGCTGAATTTTATTATAACAAATGAAAAACATGAAAGTCAAATTTTCAAAATAGATAATTACTCAAATCAGCGTCATACGGGTGATAATATATTTGCTATATATAGAGAAATTGGAATGAGCATTGGATTAAATAAATGGACGGCATTTATTTCAGATAGTGGATCGGATTTTAAAAAAGCCCAACGTCTTATACGTGAGGTAAATAATTTAATTATAAAGTTTTATAAAGTAGAGTCGGATATTATAACATAGGAGTTATTTTGATGCACTTACATTTTTTGATAATATCTTGCAATGCACTGGCTAGAATCAAACAATTTTAGTATCGTTCAATTCATTTTGCTAAGACGAATTGAATGATACAAAAATTAATTAAGACTTGAGCAATTTCAGGAAAAAGAGGTCAGCAAAATCGAAAGTACAAAAAGAGATATTAGGTCGAATATTAGTTTGTTTTAATAAAATTTGGAAATAATATTTTTTTTCTGAAAAGTTTTACTATTAGCACTCTTAGATGCGTCAGAATATCCGATCTCACCTTATATTTTAATACATATTAATTCTACATATATCATATGTATCTGTATTATATTTAGGATCATGAAATAGGTGGTAGAGTTTTAACAATCCCGTGTATGGCACATCAAACCAACTTATTAGTTAAAAAAATCGTCGAGTCGACATATTTCACACCAGTTATTAAAAAAATGCTAGTTATCATTAATCATTTTCGAAATTCCAACCTTGCATTATCCAAATTAAGAGAATTGGCTGGAAATGCAACATTAAAACCTCAGTATCCATGTATTACTCGTTGGACAACATTTACAAAATCGGCAAAAACTATTCTAGAAATTAAGACAAATTTAAAAGTACGTACATATATATATTAAGTAGTGGGAAATTCTATTTTTATCCAGATTGAAATTACCTGTAGCTAAAATTAATGGTTTTATTTTTAGGTTATCGCGCTTATACATACATCTTATTTAATATCGCGTTCACAAGGAAGCGATATTATAATTGATATTATTAATGATAATGAATTCTGGTTAAAACTTGAATCGTTTTATGAAGTGTTAAAACCATACGATTGTGTTATTAAAATTCTTGAAACGGAAAGAGCAACATTAGGTCAAGTGGCTGCATCATGGGCATGGCTTCGTGGAGTTATTAATAAGAGCTCACTTACTAATAACGATTTTAAAGATTCTCTAATAATTGAAATTGATAATCGTTGGCAAAAAATCTTTAATCCAGTTTTTTTAATTACCTGGTTTCTTCATCCATTTCATCATAGTAAAGGATTAAATTTGACATGGCATTTATATGTTCAAGAAGCCGCATACGGCCTGTTTTGCACTTTTTACCCAGATCGTAATCAAGACCAGTTTATTGATGAATGGTTAAATTACTCAAATCAAGAGGGCCCATTTTCTGCATCATCCGTTAAAAATCCAAGTTTTACAAAATTTCCACTAAGATACTGGCGTACTATGCTAAATGCAGCTCCGAATTTAAGTGAATTTGCATGTCGTCTTTTATCTATTCCACCTAATTCTGCAACTTCTGAACGGGTATGGTCTTTATTAGGTAATATACATACGGAACGTCGTAACAGGTTATCACCAGTACGGGCTGCAAAGATGGCGCAAATCTCTTGGTATATAAGTCAAAAGTCAAAACAAAATGAAAAAAAATCTCAACCTTCTGAAAAAACATCAAATGAAATAGAGAGTAATATTTCAGATGATGATAACTATATTGATAGTAGTGATGATATAGACGAATTTATGGTAAATTTAAATCAAATTTCTGAAAAATTAATAGATGATATTCATGTACTTGACGTAAATAACGAGGAAATTATTCCAGCACTTAAAGATGTATTTGATTCTAAGGCTGTTGAAAAAACGTTAAATTTTTACATTAATCAATCGTATGTATAAATTTAGAGTTACTTTAAATGTTATTAATCTTTAAATGTTATTATTAATCCATCGGGTTATACTCTAAGTACGTACTTTATTGGTAAAAAAATAAAAATAAAAAAAGGGCTATTAAATAGTTTATACAAATGTTCTCACGAACACTCTACATTTGCAAAAAATTCACTTCGAACAATATTTTGAAGGAATTTAAGTTAGGTCAGTAAGTTTTGAAAATTGAACAGGTTCGTAAAAAAATTGGTTTTGTACAATTAATTGAATTTAGGCTTATTTCATTGCGACTTAAATTCCTATTAATGAGTGTGCTATAATTGTCGTTTACTAATCCGGCAATTAAATTCTAATAAAATTTACGTTTATTACTAAAAGCTGAAATATAAATATATAATTAATAAAAAATTCATCACTTCGCAAAAAAAAAAAATTCCGTCTCCCGCAACTGTAGTTTTTAATATCCTTATTTAATAAAATGCCATTTAATACATGGTATAAGGACATATCCAAGCGTTAGTTAAAAAAAAATGTATGGAAATATTGGCATATTTTCATACGCTTGCGCAGTACTAATACTAAATAGCTGCGCCATTGCTGCGTCATGCTGCGCCATACATTATTAAGTAGTTTTTAGTTAATAACTCGTGCATGAAGCTAATAATTATTATTAATCATTAATAATGCGGGAGGTCCCATCACTACACGTAACTATACAATAACTAAGTAATTATTATTAAATTTAATAGTAACTATTTAATAGTAACTATCAGCTATATCATAATTAGTATTGGTTCCGCCTGAATCACTAATGTAACAGTGACAACAATTCAGTGGTAAACCTTATTTTAATCTAAAAATGCTGGTGGAACGTAATATATCTTAAATAGAAACAATAACGATAATATAATAGCAGATCACCAGAATTTTTTTCTGTACTATATATAACTTTAACTTGCACAACAATGCGATATGATTTACAAATTACCATTATTTTTTTAAAAAAACTTAAACATTGTCTTGTAAATTTCATTTTTAATCGTTTAATTTCTGTTAAAAATTAATAATGAGTTTATAAAAATGGAAAGATGCGAAGTATGCAATAATAAAAAAACCGATATATTTTGGTGTTTAACATGTAATTCAGGTCATTTTGAAAAACAATTTGGTAAATGGACAAGTGGAAATGATGTAATTGATAAATTTATTAAGAATATTCAACTTAAAGCGGCTAAACACGATCAAGTATTAGAATGGGTTGAATTTAAAGACATTGAAAAAGTTGAATTCCTTGCTGAAGGTGGTTATGGAAAAGTATTTAAGGGTAAATGGAAAAATGGTCATATTCAATATTATGATAATAAAAATAAAAGATGGAAGAGATATGGTGAGACCTGGGTTGTTCTTAAAAGTATAAAGGATTTAAAGGATGTGAAAGAGGAATTTTTTAAAGAGGTACATAATTTAATATGTAAATTGTAGAAATTTTATTTGCGTAATTAATGCTTTTTTAATTTCTTTTTAAGATTGAAGCTCAAATGATTTCATGTGAAGAATTTAGTTATATTATAAGATGTTACGGAATAACTAAATGTCCTACTACTGAAGATTATATGATGATCATGGATTACAAAGAAGATGGTAGTCTTCGGGAATATTTAAAAACAAATTTTCATCGTCTAAGTTGGGAAGAAAAATTGGAACTTTTATACACTGCGATAAAAGGTCTTTTTGATATCCATGAAAAAAAATTAGTGCATAATGATTTTCATAGTGGTAATATTATTATTTCCGACAATGAATCATATATTGCTGATTTTGGATTATGTAAAAATGTTGATTCCAAAGCCGACTCTAAAATATTTGGAGTTTTGGCATACATCGCACCAGAAGTATTAGATCATAGACCATATAAAAGAGCCTCAGATATCTATTCTTTTGGAGTAATTATGAATCAAGTTGCATCAGGTTATCTACCATATTATGATTGTAACCACGATACTAGCCTTGCACTTCAAATTGTTAACGAAGGACGTCGTCCAACCATTGATTATATTAACACACCGCCAGCTATTGTTAAATTAATCGAACGTTGCTGGAGTAAAAACCCAGGAGAACGGCCCAAAGCTATTGAATTGCTTAACGAACTTTGTAGTTATAGGGAAAAAGACCATAAAATATGGAAGGAAATTGAAAAAATCGAGGAAAATAAGAAGTTTAACATACCTCCACAAGAGGCAGCCCTACAATACGAAATATCAAACCAAACATGTTATATCAGTAAACACTATGATGTTCCAAAAACAGGTAAGCACGATGATTATGGTCCAGAAACAGATAAATACGATTATTCAGAAACAGGTATTTTTTTTACTTTTATTATCGTTTATAAATTATAATTGTTAGTTTTATTGTTTATTGCAAAATAACCATTGATTTTTACTTTTTTTTTTTAGAATATATGACTATTCCATCCGATTCCGATTAACCATCAAATTTCTTTATATATATTTGTATATTATTTAATGTTCAACAAATCTAAATCATTATTCCAATGTAATATTTGAATATCAAGAATGATCAAATATTTTCAATTACATTCTATTGTATTTGATTACTTTAGTAATTTAAATGTGAATGTAATATAAAAAAAAAAATCTTTTAATTACAACTTCATTTCTTGCACTCAATTTTATTATACCAAGTTTAGTTTTCTTGTATTCATAATTATATTTTAATAAATTTAATTTTACTACCATTATGACTTAGAAATAATCATGGATGAAAAATGATATCAATCTTAAAGATCTATTATGAACGATCAAACTACTGTGCATCAGATCAGTGATGGTGAATGATCCGAAATGGCCCAAAGCCATTTAACATAGGTTAATTGATAACTTAATACATTTATAACGATGTTGAAATACAAAATAATAACATCTATAATGTTAAGATTAGACCATGCAAAATTAATTAATTGATTTTCATAACCAGCCGGGGCAAAACTCAAAAACCTGTAGAAAATTTTGTTTTATATGTTTTAATAACCAGGTGGGTTTTTAAAAAAAAAATTATATATAAATTTAAAAAGAAATCCCATATTATGAAAATCAAAAGAAACTAAATTTGTGTGGCCTTAGTTGAATTTTTTTGTGATTTTTTTGAGTCTCGTGATAATATAGTAATCACCTAAATTCGTTAACCTCATCTAATGAGTTCATTTTTTAAAATTTACAAAAGTTTCCAGTGGAATAATAAAACAACAGAATAGAATAATAGAACGCTACAATGCTAACAATAAGTTAGAATTTTAAAAATGAAACCATTAATTGTAAAAAAAATTAATAGTAAGCAAAAGATAATTTAAGCAAGATTTGCTGGAACTAATTCTTCATCTTTTGTAAGAACAAATGGCCAAGAAGTTTTCACATCATAATTAAGAGGTAAACCACCAGTAGAGGCACCATCGCCTTCTTTAAAAATAGCATTTGATAAGATTCCTAAGTTCAATACACTAAGAGGAAGTAATAATTGTTCATTTTTTAACATAAAGAAGAATAATGAAATAAAGCAAAACAGAAACGAAACAGATAAGAAAATGGAAAGTTCTATCCAAATTCCTAAAGCCGGCATTGCTTTAGCTTTAATGACATCAACAGATACATTGTTCATAAACGATTGTACAGCTGATGCCAATGATCTTGATAAAATAGAATCAAATTCATCCAAAAAATTGAAATTGGATTGATTTCCTTGATATTTGATCGTATTTACCCATCTTGTTTGAACAGATGTCATATTATCAACCATAGATCCAGAAAGTATATCACCAAAAACTTTTCCATTAGTATCAGTAAATAATACGTGTTGAGAAAATAAATCGACCAAATTATCTAAACTATTATTAAAAGTTGTGATATCCATTATATTTATCTCATCTGGAGTATTACCAAAAATTTGCATTTGTTTCCAATCTATAGAAATATCGCAGGTCAATAATATAGAACAAGAACGTTGAAAGTTATAAGTTCTACAACCCCCATTAATTAACCAATTAGCCAATTTTTTAACGTCGAAAGAAAAATTAGGAGTGACAAGAAACATATTCATAGGTATATCACATCTATCCATTATGCTAGTAACTAAAGAAAGTTGTCTAGGAAAAGAGTCCAAACCAATACTCCTTGTAGAATCCAAGTGAGCACTATAAGAACCAGTGAAATTGCTACAATCGTGTAGGAACGTATCAGTTATATTTCCTAGAGCCATACTACTAACAGTATTAATTGAAAATATGCATGAGGAAAGATTAGTTTTTGCACGTACAGCATATAAAGTATTATTACTATTAGTAGAGTCCCAATAAGCGTTTTGAACATTATTTCTATTAAAAGAATTTTGAATTGATTTAGAATTTGAAACCAAAGCAAAATCGTTTTCAAAATCAGCAGAACATGAAGAATAAGTGCAATTCCAATCGTTAGAGAATAATTCAATATTTGAATGAATGATATCCGTAAAATTATAAATTCCAATAATCTTTGAAAGAGCAATATTGGGTATATTTTTTCCCAATAAACTTGCCATAAAAAATACGAAAATAAATATAAACATGCCCTTAGATAATCTGTTATGTCTAGGAAAAGTATTTAAAACAAGATTTAATATAGATCCATAAGTTGCATACATGCATAGCCTAAATTCACTACCATTTATTCTATATTTAAATTTATAAAGAATTATCCAGACTATGGAAATCAATACTGGAAACAATAATGCTTCGAATAAAGAAGTAAGTATCGTTATTGACGTAACCCAATAACTTAAAGAATCAACATTAGCACTAACTCTTATAACATGGTACATTTTGTCAATTGTCTCTATTTCCCACATAATTTTAAAAGTTTAAATCAGTTAAAGCTTTTGAATTGTATGCAAAATTGACTAATGAATTATAAATTGGCCGTAAAGAAAAATGTATACATATATGGCTGAAACAATTCATGCTGACGATCAATAAAAAAGTTTTTTGGATCTTCATAAATTACTTGTTTAGATGATTAGCGTAGGCGGAGTTCAATATCGATACACTGTATCGATATTTTACATATAAAAGGTCAGAGTTAACTGATTACGTTGATATATAATTAGCAAATATCAGTACGATATCATTATACAATACTAGTAATATCACTTTTTCTTATTGGTCATCTTATGGTTCTGTGAGCCACCTGACTATTCTGTGACCAAGGATTATGTTAAATTGCTTATAGATTATGATAAGAAGTTAAAAGCAAGTATCTCATCCTACAACTCGTAGGCACATACTTTGCAGGATCATCATAAGTTATTATGAGTAAAGAAATACATGTGGCAGTGTCTAGATTCATGTAGATCATAACGATAATGGTCATAATAATACAAGTGTGATAATCAACAGAAGGTCATAGGCCAAAGTGTGAATTATGGTGCAGGTAAAATGCACGTTATTTCTTGATGATTTATAATTTTTGCTGAGTACGTACGTGGTGTGCACAGATCGAATCATTTCAAAATTTAGGTCGATTCCGAATTGACTTCAGTGACAAATACGTATCAACTACTTTATTATATATAAAAAATAAATTAGTTAATGCTTATTTGTCACACCACGGCGGTGATCGGGTGTGACCAATCATTATGTGACAAATAACACAAACTAATTTATTTATATAAAAATTAGTCAGTGTTTATTTGTCACACCACATGGGTCATCACTTGATCCCAAAACTTCATAGAAATTTAGGACTCATTAATAAATAAATAAAATTTTTCGAATGTTTAACTTTATCGATAAATACAACTTTTTTTTTATTACTTTTTAAAATGGAAAGTTACGACCTTTTAGTGTGTGAAACCTTTGATCGAATATTAAAAGCTTTCATTTATCAAAGGAAAATTGCTGTTTAATGAATCGAAGTAAATATGATCAATATTTAACTGTAAAACGATTTATAACCCAAAATTGAAATATTGAGTAACATGATTTTAAAATTATTTACGCAACTGAAGAGCTTTATACGATTAAATGACATGGGGACGTAAGTTTGTCTTGTTGAAACCTTTTTATGCTTCAACGTGCATTTTTTATTGTTTTTTTTTTATTAATTATTTGTATTGCGCGTTTTTTTATTTATGTCGCATCTGAAGTAGCGCCTGGCTAAAATTAAGCCCCTGAAATTAGATCTTCATGCATGCATTAGATCTTCATGCATGCATTAGATTTTAATTTTAGCCAGGGCGCTACTTTAGAAATAATAGCTGCTCGATACGCAGTATCAGAGCAGCTTTTGTCTCGAATCATGTATTAATCGAACATGTGATAGGCCCGATTACAATCACATGTTCGATCGACGATCGTTAGAGTATGAGGTAATTGGTAATTAATGTGAGAATTCAACGTGAGGTTTGTCTAAGTTGAGGTGCTCACGGGGTTTTAAAAATGTTTTTCAACATGAGGTTGGGTCCCAACCAACCAAGCATCGCCCAAAAATCTGTTACGTTCGGTTATTCAAAATAACTATTTTCCGATAATTCAATTTTTGAAATACAGATAATTTTGTAATTATTACATAATTAGTTATTATTTTCCTTTTATTGATACAAATCAATTTTTTTTTTCGTATGAAAATTTTCAAATATCGTTATGGATTCTTTATTATTGTTATATTGTACATCATGTCGAACTTATAAAGCACCTAAAGCTTTTCAAGGAAATAAAACTTGTTGCCAATGTTTAACACGTGTTAAAGAGAGTAAAAAACGGAAATATGAAGAGATTGCAGTTACCGAAGAAATTGTAACTGAAGTAGAAAATATTACTAATACAATCTATGAGGCTCTTCTAAATGTTGATGATATCGATGAAAATTTGGAAAGTGTTAATGGATTTTATCTTAAAATAACAACTAATTTAGATACATTAATAAATGAAATTCCATTAGAAGATCATCGTGAGCAATATATTGCAAATAAGATTGTCAAACTCGTTGAACAAGGAGATGGTTACGATTATGTATACCATACTAAATCTGTCTCAAAAAAAACAAACACAAAATCATTTTATTACTGGTGTAATTGTCGTAAAGAACTTGCTTATAAAAGTCAAAAACATAGTGATGTTTCAAAACAGCGAAATACTGGAACATATCTTACTCGATTTGAATGTGAAGGTCTTTTTTCAATTTCTATTAACTTGGTAGATAATTGTGCAAAAATTAAACTTAGTCACAAACAACTTCATCAACGACCGAAGTACATTGGTGTAACAGAACAAGTTAAACAATATATCCGTGAACATTTAATACTTAAAGCACCAGATATTTATCGGGAAATTATATCAGAAAAACTTAATGGATTTGAAAACTTGACTGTAGATCAGGTATATTTTTGGTGGGCCAAAGAAGTATCTGCATTTTATCGACGCCATGATGATCAATATAAATCTGCAAAACTACTTTTAACTGAAAAAGATTATATGATTGTGCTTAATTTAGATGAACCAATGCATATATTTAGTTTTGTAACAGAATTTTTTAATAAATTGCCACGTGAAGCTTTTGAAACAATTATGGTAGATGCTACTTATAATACAAATCAATTAAAATATGAGCTTTACGCATTAATGGCAATAATAGATGGAACAGGTTTTCCGATTTCATACTGTTTTATTGAAGCTGGAAAAGGTCGAGATATGCGTGCAGCAATAACTGCATGGTTTAAATCTTTGTGGGAAAATGGCCTTAAAGAAGTGAAAATGATTCTTTCTGACAAAGATTTTTCACAAATTAGTAGTGGAATAGCTATTTGGAAGAATGCAGAGATTCAATTATGCAAATGGCATATGCAACGAGCAATTGAACAAAAACTTTCTTCCCAATATTCTGGTAATTCATCCCACTATAATGCTACTACTGCGCACCAACAATGCTCAATTATTGATCCTTTATGGCAGCCTATACAAAATAATAATACAAATACTAAAAAAAAGGTTTTTTTAGAAGTTGCATTACGTAAAGAGATTTTAGAATACGTTGATATACATTTTCACTATCATATGTTAATTCCTACAACAAACAAAGAGTTTATTTCAACATCAAAAGAAATTTGGATGCGAGCTATTAATGAAATATTTCAATATTGCTATCAACATAATTTATTTCATGTATGGTGTTATTTGTGGTTAGAATGGTATCGCTGGGATCGCTGGAAACTTTGGGCATTATCTGCACATAAAGCTTACTCTACTATCTGTACAACAATGATAGTAGAATCTCATTGGAGAATTCTTAAAAGAGATTTTTTATATAAATTTAATCATCCACGACTTGATATTCTTTGCCATATTATAATTGATAGAATGCTGCCAAAATTATTGCATCGTTATGATCTTCTTATTAATGAAAGAATTCTACCATCATGGAAAAAAGATTTTAAATTAGAATGGAAGAAACTTGTAAATCAGGAAATAAAAAATTCAAATAAATATCTTACTATTCATAATAATTGGGTTTGTTCATGCCCAACATTTTTTAAAAATCGATTTTTACTTTGCAAACATTTAGTTGCACCATTAGGAAATATGGAAAATTCATTTTTTCGCAAAATTCAACGAAATAATCAGTATCCGTTTATTTATGAAGGCCAGCAAACTATTTGGGAAATCATTAAAAATAACTTAAATACTATATCGGGCAATTCTATAATTGAAAATTCTGCAGTTAACAATGTCGAAGTTGATTCAGATTTAGATGTGTATGAATATAATTCAAATATAGATATGCACGATTTAAACTTGAATACGCATGATTTGAACTTGAATATACATGATTTGAACTTAAATAACTATGATTCAGATACTAAT